AAATTTTTCTAAACTTGTCTATTTTTAGCTTATAAACAACTTAAACTTTTTTTCTTATATTATAAAAACTAATTTTGCAAAAAAGTAATTCTTATTTTCAAATATAATCGTGCAAATTTTATTTAAATAGTTTGGCATTTTAAAAAAGTAAATTAGTGCTAAAAAAGTGCAAAAATGCAGGCAAATTTGTTTGTGTTGGTCTACATATTAAGTGAAAAGTTTTATATTTTTTGCATTATATATAGATATTAATATTAGAATTTGTATCTGTTATATATATATTTTGTATAATAATTTTTATTTGGGTACAATTTTTAATTAAAAAATAATATTAAAAAATAATATATATATATAATATTATTTTTGTAATAAAATATATTTTAAATTATTTGATATTTCTTTAATTAAACTTTTAAAATAAGTTTAGATAGCTTTTAGCACATAATGTCATAGAGGTGATGAATGAATATATTCTTCTATACAAACCAATACTACAAAAAGATATTCTAACAAACTAACAGGTATAAATCGATAAAATTTAATATTATACAGGATATTTTCTAATTGAGTTTTAAATGGTTGATTATTTTCATTAAGATGAGGAAATGCTTATTAAATTTAAATTTATTATATTAAAAAAAATAAATTAAATAATATTTATTTTATTTAAATATACTAATATACTTACAACAATTTTTTTTTATATAGAATAGTATAGCATTAATCTTCAATTAGTAACTGATCAAGTAATTCTTCATTAAGTAGATATTAGATAAGATTAATATCATATGATTCAGGTATTGGAATAAATTAATGCCAATTATTTCCATTTAACCAAAAATTATATTCAATAAAGTAACTATCTTTACATTGTAATATTTGTGATATATGATTAATGTATTGGCTCTAGTTAGTTTTATATTGTGTTAAAGTATTTTGTTTAATCTTTTTTAAAACTGGTAAACTAGTATATAATGAACTATCAAATAGAGTTTTAAAGCATAATTCTTTAATTATAGCAAGATAAAATCTAACAAATTAATATAAAAAAATTTTTTTAAGAGTTTAAATATAAAAGTTTTTTTTTTTATACTCTAAAAACTAAAAAATTAACTTAATATATGCAAATGTATTTGTATAAATTAATTGATTTGATACTTTATTTTTAATTGTTTTAAAAATATCAAAATTAAAGTTAATATTACAGTGCTTTGTCAATCTAATTTGATCATTGATATGAGGACAAATTGTAATATCTTAGCACTTTCTTTGGTCATTAGTAATATAAATATTGTTAAAAAAAGATATTTGACTTTGATTACTAGTACCTAAATGGTATTGAATCTAAATATAAATATATATATGTATATATAAATATTATCCCTTAATCTGTAGATTATTTCCAGGCAAATTTGCCTGGAAAATTTACTTTAAATAAGATATTGGAAACTAACTTCATATTACTAGTTTTTTTAAAAAAATCAGATTCGTAGTATTTAAAAATCATCCTGAACTGTATTCCAGGCAAATTTGCCTGAAAAATTTGATGTTACATAGCAATAAACATTCAGGGTTTTTATTTACTGTAATAGGATTTAATGTTATAGCTACATAATGATTATGGTATTACTGTTATATAATGATCATACAGACTCAGAAAATTTAAAACCTAAAAAGGTAATATTTTACTTTGTATTTTCATTTGAATAAATATCTGGATTGTGGATTAGACATTATGTAAAAGTAATAAAATAAACTTTTTCAGATCTAATTTTAGATAGCACCAATCATTGAATAGATCTGAAGCGATTCTTTTTTATTAAGGCATTGGATAACAAGTTAAAACTTTCAATTTTAACAAATAAAAATGCACAACTATCTAACAATCAAGTATGTATTACCCAAGAATACTGATTAATTCGATAAACTTAATCTTTATTTCAATGAAAATCTCTAAAACAAGTTAGCCTTGCTTTAGAGCAACATAATGGTACTTTCGCTCTTTCAGTTATTTTTTACCGATGAGCAGTTGTGTTTAATGGTCGAGAATACTAATATATATGAGCAAGTAAAAGGTAGAGTAGGTGGTCAGGTTTGGAATCCGTTAACTTTAAATGAACTGAAGGTTTGGCTTGGACTGATAATTTACATAGGAGTTCATCATATTAACGTGATAGATGATTTGTGGAATCGAGATGATAGAAAGGCAAACTATGAAATTAAAAAGTTTATATCCCTATATAGATTCCAACAAATTAAAAGATTCTTCCATATTTCAACACCAGGTCAACCTCATCCACACTGGTACTCAAAGGTCAAACCATTTGTGTCGCACATTCAACATGCAGTTAAAAAATATTATGTCTCTAGTTCACAAGTATCTATTGATAAAATGATCATACATTTTTCCAGGCGAAGTGTGCATACAGTAAGAGTAAAAAACAAACCTACTCCGGAGGGGTATAAAATTTTTTCTCTATGTGACTATGGTTATATATGGGCATTTATGTTTTCTTCACGAGTCGAAAAAAATAACTTAATAGAATCTATTTCTGGACTTGATAATACTGGATGTTTGGTCACACATTTGGCTAATATGCTTTCTAATAATAAGATGTATCACATATATATGGACAATTATTTTTCTAGTATCCTACTTTTTAAATATTTACGAGAAAAGGGTATTGGTGCTTGTGGCACTATTCGTATGAATTCATCCAGATATCATAAAGAATTAAAATTTGGTAAAGAAGTGGCATTAGATTGGAATACACTCTTGGAAAAAGTAGTTAATGATGTTTGGTTATTTTTTGGGTAGATAATAGCCCTGTAACTATGCTAACTACTATTCATAAAATTTTTGGTGAAGATTAGAAAGTTATTTGTAACAGGCGGTGACCCCATGAAACAAGTTCCAATGCAAATACGGTGTGTCAAGTTTTTGAAGATAGACATTGAAAAGAATTAGAGATCCCGCAAGTAATTGATGACTACAACCATTACATGGGTGGAGTCAATATCGCTGACCAATTTCACGGATATTACAACTGTCAGTTGACAGTTAGACTAACATGGTTTCCTTTATTTTTTTGGATTCTAGATACTGTTCTTGTAAATTGTGTAATTATTTATCGTAAAGCAACTAATTCGAATATCTCAAGTAAGGAATTTAGAGTTAATTTAGTTTGGGATTTGATTAGTGAAGCTTTAA